GCAGGGAGCCCGATGCGGGACTCGATCCCGGGACTCCAGGATCATGACCTGAGCCGAAGGCAGCCGCTTAACCAACTGAGCCACCCAGGTGCCCCAATAGGGGAATATTTCTATAACATTGGTATAGGAAAGGATTTCTTGGACAAAATATAAAGTGCATTAACTAACTGGAATCTAAATTAAAACGGGGAAAAAATAATAAGAGAAAAAATATATATAAAGCACAAACCATAAAAGTTTTATATATTTGACTACATTTTAAAAACCAACTTCTGTTTATCAAAAGACATTATTTAAAAAGGCTACAGTGTCTGGCAAAAGATATTTGCAATTTACATAATTAATAAAGAATAACTATCATATATATGTATATATGTGTATATATGTATTTAAAATATATATCAGTAAGGAAAAGACAAGCCACCCAACAGAAAATTGACCAAAAGACATGAATAGGTATTTCACAGAAGAAAAAACAGGAATGACCAATAAACAATGAAAAGATGAGCTACCTCACTGGTAATCAGGGAAATGCAGAGTATGACCATAATGAGATTAATTTTATATTAATCAGACTGACAAATATTAATAAGTCTAATAATACCAGTGTTGTCAAGGAGGTTGTGCTATGGAAATCCTGCTAGCAGAAATGTAATTTGGTACAATCACTTTGTTCTGTTTTTTTTTTTTTTTCCTTAGAGAGAGAGAGAGGAGAGGGAGAGAGAATCTTAAGCAGGCTCAATGCTCGGTGTGCAGCCGGACACAAGGCTCGATCCCATAACCCTGAGATCATAACCTGAGCTGAAATCAAGAGTTGGATGCTTAACTGACTGAGTCACCCAGGCGCCCCATAATCACTTTGAATACATTTTGACATTTAATAAATCTAAACATGGTTATACTGTATGATTCAGCAGTTCTACCCCTAGAATATATACTACAAAAAATATTGCATAAGTGTACGAGAAAATACGTACAAGAATTCAAGTGTGGGGGCACCTGGGTGGCTCAGTCTGTTGAGTGCCCGACTCTTGATTTCGGCTAAGGTTGCGAGATCAAGTCTCGCCTCGGGCTCTGCACTGAGCGTGGAGCCTGTTTAAGATTCTCTTTCCCTCTCTTTCTGCCCCACACCCCCACTCTCTCTCTCTAAAGAAAGGGGGGGTGCCTGGGTGGCTCAGTCGTTAAGCGTCTGCCTTCAGCTCAGGTCATGATCCCAGCGTCCTGGGATCGAGCCCCACATCGGGCTCCCTGCTCCGAGGGAAGCCTGCTTCTCCCTCTCCCTCTCCCCCTGCTTGTGTTCCCTCTCTCGCTGTCTCTCTCTGTGTCAAATAAATAAATAAAATCTTTTTTTAAAAAAAATGAATTCAAGTCTGTTCATAGCAGCATTGATCTTAGTAACAAAAAGCCAGAAATAGCCCAAATGTCCTTCAGTAGGACACTTGACTTAGTAAATTGTGGCGTAATCATCAAATGGAAAGCTACACATTGGTGAAAATAGATACCTACAGTTAGAAATATCAATGTGATGAATCCCACAAATGTAATGTAGAGAGAGAGCAAATTCAGGGGAAAAAAATCATGTGTTATGATTCTGTGAGGTAAAGCTCAAAAACACAGGCAAGAAAGCAGTTATATCTTTTTTGTTGTTGTTGTTTATTTATTTAAGAAAGCAGTTATATCTTGTGGGAAAGGAGAGGAATGCAATTCAGAAGGGCATATAGATGGTTTCAGAGGCTCTGGTAATGTTCTGTTTCTCAGGCTGAGTGGTGGGTATGCGGGTGTTCAGTTTATTATTCTTTGATTCACATATACATTTATGATTTTGTTATTCTTTACATATATATGATCTAAAGAATGAAATCTTAGGAGTACATATGTATACACTCTTTTGTATTTGTTATACATTTTCTAAAAGTTCTCACGCTAAAAAGTAGTGATTGGAAGGTGCGGATATCCGGGGGAAGATCATTCCGGGTAGGGAGAACAAAGACGCTGAGACGGTAAAGGTGTTTGGTGTGTTAGAGGAATCGCAAGGAGGCCATTTTGTCTGGTGCAGTGGAAACAATGGGAGAGTGCTAGGAGATGAGGTCAGAGAGGTCTCCGGGGCCAGATTACATAATTCCTTGTGGCCAATGGGAAGCCATTAGAAGGTTGTAAGCATGGAGTGCATGGAGTGACATAATTTTATTTATGTTTTATAAAGGATCACTTGGGCTTTGTGGTAAATACTAGGG